GAGAGAGAGAGAGAGAGAGAGAGAGGGGATGGTGAAGCAGGATTTTCCCGGAGCCACACTTTTCTGCTTCAAGCGCTGAGCTCTCCTCAACTTTTTGGGTGGCGGAACAGGATCGAACCTCCTGGCTGCTCCTGGCCATATATAGTAGTTTTTTTTTTGTTTCGTTTGTTTTTTTCCTTCTCCTGACAAGAAGAGGGGCTGAAAAAAGAGGAGGACTTTTTAGAGCAGCGAAAGCAGACGGCAGAGGCATTTACGGGCAAGACTGTGCTCTCTGATTTTTAGCACGAGCCCCCCGGACTTACCCCCTCCCCGCCGTCAGCTTGAAGAGGTGTGCTCTCAATTGCTCTGTCGTCCGCTCTCCGCTGTCCTGAGAACTTCCCCCCCCTCCCCGGTTCTTGACTGCGGCAGCAGCAGCTCTGCTCGCCCCGGGGGCAGAATGAGCCGCTAGACCGGAACGCGAGGATGGCCACGGCCGTGTTCCAGGTAAGCAGCCGCCCCCGTCTGCACTCTCGGGGCCGGGGCCATCCTCAGGTATGCCTGGAATTCCGGCTCTCTCCGCCGGCGGACCGAGCGGGCTGCTGGGTCACGGCCCTTGCCGCGTGTTTGCATGTTCCACGCGAGGGAAAGTAAACGGATTGCTAAGTGCTGTCAGATGTGTCCGACGGTAGCCTGAATGAAAAAAGTCAGACAGAGCTGAATGTTTACTGAATGACTTTCCGAATATGTTAAACTGAGTAAATTAGGGGAATTTAACCATTCAGGTACATATAGAATACTTTGATGCAATTGATTTGGGATGACAAGAAATTGGATCCTTGAATTTGTCCGCGTTGATCAAATCGAGAGATACTGCAGAAGTGCTTTTGGCTGCAGTAGTGACATTCTTCACACTGGAGTAGAGGCAGAGTATGTATGTGTTGATTGAACTTAGATGTTTGCAGTAGAAAAAGTTACTGTCAGCCCGGACGCCCCGGCAGGTTCCAGAGGATGTTCCTCACACTTGGCTCCCGTCACCATAACAGGATGGTGCTGTTTAAGTGAGCTCATGTGTTTCTCGCCGGTGGTACCAGTGCGTGTCGGTGATGTCGCTCATCCCTGGGGGAGCCTGCCATTCTGCCCTCGTTTCTGTAACTGCCAGTGCGGTCCAGCCCGTTAGGGGGGGTGTTCTCCTCACATCCCACACCATCTGCCCTTGCTGGGATCGAGGCACCTAGAAGTTGTGAACGATCCCGGCTAAGATCCCAGACCTCGGATTGGAGAGCATGTCTGTGGGTTGACGAACCGGTCCTACTGCATGAGTTGGCCTGTGGGGGCCCTGATGTCTATCCCCCCCCCCCCCACTCCACGGCTTTTACTCTCTCCACAGTGCCCCTGCAGGAAATTACCCCCATCACTCACCGCTGACCCGATGTGAATTCAGAGGCATCTGAGAGGTCACAGCATGCAGAACTGGCCCAGACAGCGACTCTCAGTTATTCCGACAGGGCTGCCCCCCACCCCCCACCCCCAATCTAATTTAGAGAGCTGTGTTTATTACGTAGAAAACAAGGAAGTATCGCTTTTCTCAATAAAATAAGCAAATTCTGTTATCCGTGGCTGGGAGATAAAGCTCACTGTAAAACGTCCAGGTAGAATTTCCCTGAGGCACGGGAGGCTGGCAGTTCACACCCCGCCTCCACAAATGGGCCATTTTCACGGTGACCTGCGATAGCAGAGCGCTAACAGCAGGCGGCTCGACCTGGCGTTGGAAACTCGAGGAACACGCTCTATAAATCCTAAAATTAAATCGGGAGCGCAGTGTCATTTTCCCCCAAGGATCGCTCATTGTGTGATCTTTGTGTGGTCTGTGCTGGAACAACTCGCATATCTCTCTAAGTTATCAGTCCCGGGAAAAATTCCTCATCTTGATTCCCTGCATCCAGAATGCGTCACAGGTGCCACAGCAAACGGGGAACTGCACGTAAGGAATCGGCATCAGAGATGTTTGGGGTGTGTGTATGGGAATGGATGGCAGAGCTTTTGTGTCCAGATTTACGGCGGGTGGCGGATGCAGAAGTCTTGCTGCGCTCCAGTATAGTGCAGCAGAATTACTAAGCGGCAGAGCAGTTGAGGAGTAAAGTATGGGCGTGGCTGTATGGACAGGGGGGAGGAGTCTCGATTTCTCAATGACATCATGTGCATTCTGTATGCCCCCCCCCCCCCTTTGTAATTTTGCTGATCTTTAGATACTCCTGGCAGGAAGATTTATTAAAAAGGGGGGTAAGCTTTTACTTTGGGGGTCTGATCTTAATGGAAATGAATGAGCACTACCTATTTAAGCTAATTAGTGTACATTTATTTGGACCTAGTGACACCCCTGGCTGATGGAGAGGCACCACACTGCAGGCCATTTGCGTGGTGTGTGTGTGTGTGTGTGTGTGTGTGTGTGTGGGGCAGGGGGGGGGGCCACCCGCGTGTAAAATTTATTCCTCCCGTGGGCCCTAGCTCCTGCCAGTTAGCGTCGGGGGTTGGGCAGGGCCGATTAATCCTATATGCGATTTTTGCTCATACTGTTCTCACATTATGGTCTCAAAATCAATGCGATTAAAGTTAATGAGATTAGCAAAATAATAATGCATTATGACTTCAAAGCACCTCTTTACTTCTTTGTTTTGGTGTCGGCGGTGGCGGTCAGCTGGAGCTGCTGCTCTCCCGGGCTCCATACGGGCTTTCACTGGCGAATCCAGATTGCGTACAGTGGACAGACACATTTCCGCTCCCCTCTTTTTTTTTTTTCAAGCGGCAGGGTGGGAGGGAACCATCCAGTAGCACAATGCAGGGTTTGTGTGATCCAGCCTGGTGAATGTCTGTTATATGAGAGACGTGGTTCAGGTTTAGCTGCTGAGGCTGTCGGAGGCGTGCGTCTTGGCTGAACCCTTCACCTACTGGTCATTTGTGTGATCTGCTCTTGGGGACCATGTTTGGTCTTGGAGAGAAGGGAAGTCTGTCTATGTTATTAATTAAACAGACAGTCTGCTTAGGTTTTACATAACTAATCTGTGGTGGAAAGTTCTCTGTCCTGCGTCCAGGTTGTGAGGCAGGTTCCCCAGAACATAATAACACATAACAGAACTTTCTGTGAGCACCCAGTACATAGGACATCATAAAGGTAGTCAGGAACAGCATTATGCAGACGTATAAGGCATTATAACAGATGACATAAGCAGGTGCGTGTGAGCTTACGACCTACCACGTTACGTAACATTATATAACTCTGTACTGACCTTATGATGTGTGCTGGGTCACTTCACACATAAGGGAATGCCTGACTTTCTCATTTTAGAACGAGAACTGCGCACGTGCCCGTGGGCACGAGGCCGCATGTGTTGACCTGGTAGAAAAATCGCTGACTGGAACAGATATAGCAACTTACGTAACGAGACCTTGTTTACATTCCATATTTTCTGACAAATATCTCCAGGATGTATTTGATCTGTAAGGTGAAATGACGTGTGAGATAAGTTCTGCGTTGCCGACGTATCCTTCTGGATCAGCAGGATCGAGTGTTTGACAGGCTGATGTGAGAGCCTCGTCGTTCCGGAGGTGGGGGGGGGTCTCTGATTTTGCTGCGGGGTGTTTTTTTCATCCATTAACGACGTCACGGTGACTTAGAGGGCGTGCACACGTTGGGGCCTGAGCACACGCTGGGGCCTGAGCACACGCTGGGGCCTGAGCACAGTGACAGGTTAACAGCACCCCTGTGGGGGGGCACCAAGCTAAGTGTCCTGCTGACATTCCTTTGAAGCCCCTGGCTCCAGCCCCCCCGCGTTCCTGCCCTCTGCCGTTAATGAAGACTGATGACTGGTCGCGCGGACGTCGTTGCTGCCTCAGTCGTCCTGGAACCACAATGAAAACAAATAAGTAACAGACACTGTCATGTCGGACCACTGGGGGTGGGGGGCACATACCACCCCCCCTTCCCAGCTTGTAAACAGGCAGCTGTGGACAGTGCTGTCGAGTCTTCATTATTGGGATTGCAGAGCTTCAGAAGATGGGACCAGCTCCCCAGATTTCTTCAGCTCTATCTAGTCTCTGTAAGCAGCTGCTGCCCCTCTACCACCTTGAAAAAAAAAAAAGTTCATCCCAAAATGAAGCAGTTCGGACACGTCATGAGCCTGGGGCTGAAGGCCTGGATGAATCCGGATGAGCCCGGAATGATTTGTTTGGCTCAGATGTTTTGACAGTCCAGCTCTCGGTTTCAGAATTCCATACATCACATCGGTCCCACTCCAGGGTGCTGCGATCATTGTAACCTCAGGGAGGGAGATGGAGAATTCAATATGATGACCCTCGGACAGATTTGGTCTCTATGCTAAGCCCCTTATGTCTTAGGATGTTAGCAATGCCCCTGAAACAGTTCTTCATCATTCTTTAATTGCTAATTCCTTTTAAAATCATTCATTGCTCTCACTTTAGTCACCGTCTTGTCATTTTCTGTGAGTACAGCTTCCTCTTTACAATCTTTCGGTATGTATCAGAGCTGCCCGACTCCCAGATTGTAAACGTCTCGCGGTCGGATTTTTATCGCGTCGAACGGTGTTTTGGAGGAAATGGTTGAAAGTCATACATATGTGAAGCGGATCAGATATCTTGCACATAGCTGTGCTAAAGAGGTTTGGCTGCTCTTGTAGCTCTGCAGTGAGCCCAGGGGAAGTCATTTAGAGTTTGTTAAAACATCCTGCTTTTAATTCACCAGAGTTGGCGTGTGAAGCCTTACCTGAAAGTTCATTCCGGCTTTATTCCGTTTTATAGTTTTTCCTAATTAATCCAGACGACACTGCAGTCCAAAATAACTGTGTGTTAATCTCATTTTCATTATTACTGTTTTGTTAGTATTAATACTTTAGAAGACTGGAAAGACTGAGTATAGTAAGAATCAGTGAATTTGTCCATCCATCCATCCATCCATCCATCCATCAATTTTCCAACTGTCTATCCAGAACTGGGCCATCAGGAGTTTGGTGTCCATCTGAGGAAGTTCAGGGCGTCGAGCAGGAACACCCTATATAGGAAGACACCAAATATTCCCTTTGCATAGCTGTCCACTATTATCTTGTCTGTTTCCATTCTGTCCGGAGTTATGGAAGGTTTATGATCTGAGTATGCTTGTGTTTTAGACTTTAGATTTACATGGAGGGGGAGGGGAGTTACAGCTGGTTTCCCATGCCAGCATTCCAGGCTGAGGAACCACTGAGACAAATAACGATCCCTAATGGGAATGCTGGATCGCTGCTGCTAATGGGGGCTGATTTGAAAAAATCGCTTCATGTAATCAAGCAGTCTGGTCCTTCTCTTATGATGGCCGTTATTGACTAATGGCAGTGGTTGGAAAGGCAGGAATAGAAAATGCCATTTTCCATTTTCGTCACAATCTTGTTCTTTACATCGGCCTTCCAGTGTTTGATGTTCGTGCGTAGCTTAGGGAGGGGTTTTGGTTCGCGATG